TTTTGTACTATACAAGTCAATCAGTTCATAAGGGGAGCACAATTTTGTACAATGCAAGTGAATTAGTTTACTAGGTGAGTACAAGTTTGAACCATACAAGTCAATTAATTCATTAGGATGAGCCTATGTTGATGTAACTCAGTCATGTATATTTTACTAGTGTGAATATAGGTGTATAGTATCCAGTCGTGTAGTTGAACAGGATGAACATTAGGTGTATATAATCAATCATAGAGTGCAATACAGTGATCATTCATTATACAGACTTGCCAACCTAGTTAGGAGGGAAACTCCAAATAAGGACTCTAAAATGGAGCATTTTTAATCAGTGAATTTCCTTAACTATTCCTATTTATTTGATGATTCATCTGAAAGACCCGGTCAAAAGATGCCAATTTAAGGGTTCTTTTCCCCCTAGGGTGTACATACACACATTTTATTTATGCATTTAATTCTGAGCACGCACAATCTTCCCCATGGAAATTTTGATAGTTAATTGTTGTCGGCACTGCCAATTATGTTTCCTTGCTATCCCCATATTCATAGTCCATTCCAATTGTCCAGTTTGACCACTTGATTTGTTTCATATCAGAAATGACGCAAATATGCACCGTTTAAATCATATGGTCGGTTGCTTGAGGAATCTTGTAATCTATTAGTAAATTTTTATGAATATATTTAAGTGAAATCTGGCCGTCATTTTCCATGGGGACATACAATCGATATATTAATGCAGCATTTGATAAAAATAAAAGATATAAACATGTTTTACCTCACCACGATGTCGCTATTTACAACCCAGTAATTCATTTACTTAAGAGAGCAAAGAAGTAAGTTGTTAAACTTATCCTGGAGTTAAAAGAACAAACGTGAACAAATACAATCCAGTATTTTGTTCACTAGGACGAGCATAAAGTTATGCAGTCCAGCTTTGGAGTTTACACCTACCTGTAGTACTTTGGAGTTTACACCTACCTGTGGTACTTTGGAGTTTACACCTACCTGTAGTACTTTGGAGATTACACCTACCTGTGGTACTTCGGAGATTACACCTACCTGTGGTACTTTGGAGTTTACACCTACCTGTGGTACTTTGGAAGTGTTCTTTCTTGATGTATGTATGGTATTAGTGCAACAGTATATTTTTAATGCATTTTGCGATATATTATAATTTGGTTACCAGGGTGTGGACTTTTGTCCTGGGCAGTACATACAAAATGTGACGACACATGACCAAATTCACCATGATCCACCACTACTGTTCCATCTTGGAAGAGACCCTGGGGAGAAATACTTCATCAAGTAAGTCAGAGACCTGGCAGAGAAATACTTCATCTAGTAAGTCAGACTCCCTGGGGAGAATACTTCATCTAGTAAGTCAGAGACCTCTTAGAAAAATACTTCATCAAGTAAGTCAGAGACCTGGCAGAGAAATACTTCATCTAGTAAGTCAGACACCCTGGAGAGAAATACTTCATCAAGTAAGTCAGAGACCTGGCAGAGAAATACTTCATCTAGAAAGTCAGACACCCTGGGGAGAATACTTCATCTAGTAAGTCAGACTCCCTGGGGAGAATACTTCATCTAGTAAGTCAGAGACCACCTAGTAAGTCAGACACCCTGGGGAGAAATACTTCATCTAGTAAGTCAGAGACCGCCTAGTAAGTCAGACACCCTGGGGAGAAATACTTCATCTAGTAAGTCAGACGCCCTGGGGAGAATACTTTATCTAGTAAGTCAGACACTCTGGGGAGAATACTTCATCTAGTAAGTCAGAGACCTCGTAGAGAAGTACTTCATCAAGTAAGTCAGAGACCTGGCAGAGAAATACTTCATCTAGTAAGTCAGAGACCTCGTAGAGAAGTACTTCATCAAGTAAGTCAGACACCCCGGGGAGAAATACTTCATCAAGTAAGTCAGAGACCTGGCAGAGAAATACTTCATCTAGAAAGTCAGACACCCTGGGGAGAATACTTCATCTAGTAAGTCAGACTCCCTGGGGAGAATACTTCATCTAGTAAGTCAGAGACCTCTTAGAGAAATACTTNAGTAAGTCAGACTCCCTGGGGAGAATACTTCATCTAGTAAGTCAGAGACCTCTTAGAGAAATACTTCATCTAGAAAGTCAGACGCCCTGGGGAGAATACTTTATCTAGTAAGTCAGACTCCCTGGGGAGAATACTTCATCTAGTAAGTCAGAGACCACCTAGTAAGTCAGACACCCTGGGGAGAAATACTTCATCTAGTAAGTCAGAGACCCTGGGGAGAATACTTCATTTATTAAGTCAGACTCCCTGGGGAGAATACTTCATTTATTAAGTCAGACTCCCTGGGGAGAATACTTCATTTAGTAAGTCAGACGCCCTGGGGAGAATACTTTATCTAGTAAGTCAGACTCCCTGGGGAAAATACTTCATTTATTAAGTCAGACCCCCTGGGGAGAAATACTTCATCTAGAAAGTCAGACACCCTGGGGAGAATACTTCATCTAGTAAGTCAGAGACCTCTTAGAGAAATACTTCATCAAGTAAGTCAGACACTCTGGGGAGAATACTTCATTTAGTAAGTCAGACTCCCTGGGGAGAATACTTCATCTGGTAAGTCAGACTCCCTGGGGAGAATACATCATCTAGTAAGTCAGAGACCACCTAGTAAGTCAGACACCCTGGTAAGAATACTTCATCTAGTAAGCAAGAGACCTGGCAGAGAAATACTTCATCTAGTAAGTCAGACTCCCTGGGGAGAATACTTCATTTAGTAAGTCAGACGCCCTGGGGAGAATACTTCATCTAGTAAGTCAGAGACCTCGTAGAGAAGTACTTCATCAAGTAAGTCAGAGACCCTGGGGAGAAATACTTCATCTAGTAAGTCAGACTACCTGGGGAGAATACTTCATCTAGTAAGTCAGAGACCTGACAGAGAAATACTTCATCAAGTAAGTTAAAGACCTGGTAGAGAAATACTTCAAGTAATTATAGTTAGAGACTGGGTATAGAAATACTTCATCGAGTAAAGTAGAGACGTGGTAGAGAAATACTTCAACAAGTTATTATAGTTAATGAGACTGGGTAGAGAAATACTTCATCGAGTAAAGTAGAGACCTGGTAGAGAAATACTTCCGAGTAAATTAAAGACCTCATAGAGAAATACTTCATCAAGTAAGTTAGAGACCTAATAGAGAAATACTTTGAGTAAGTTAAAGACCTTGTAGAGAAATTCTTCATCAAGTAAGATAGAGACCTGATAAAGAAATACTTTGAGTAAATTAAAGACCTGGTAGAGAAATACTTCATTGAGTAAAGTAGAGACCTAGTAGAGAAATACTTTATCAAGTAAGTTAGAGACCTTATAGAGAAATACTTTGAGTAAATTAAAGACCTAGTAGAGAAATACTTCATCAAGTAATTATAGTTAATGAGACTGGGTAGAGAAATACTTCTTCAAGTAGCTATTGTTAGAGACTGGGTAGAGAAATACTTCATCAAGTAAGTTAGAGACCTGGTAGAGAAGTACCTCATCGAGTAAAGTAGAGACCTCGTAGAGAAATACTTCATGAAGTATTTATAGTTAGAGACTGGGTAGAGAAATACTTCATCAAGTAGCTATTGTTAGAGACTGAGTAGAAAAATACTTCATCGAGTAAGTTAGAGACAGAGAAGAAAAAATACTTCATCGAGTAAGTTAGAGACCGAGTAGAAAAATACTGCATCGAGTAAGTTAGAGACCGAGTAGAAAAATACTTCATCTAGTAAGTTAGAGACCGAGTAGAAAAATACTTCGAGTAAGTTAGAGACCGAGTGGAAAAATACTTTATGCACAAGGTTACTCTGTACACATTTTTTTTATACATTTGTTTATGTACTTTTTTTCACACAAGATTGAATGTTATATTATTAACATGGCAATCACCGAGAAACCATAGTCACTGTTTACAGTATATTCTTACTGATTATAGAAGCCATACTGAGGAGTATATGAAGGTGTTACCAATGATACAGAAGGCCATAGATGAGCACAGAAAACACATGGTACCAGGTGAACCACAGCTCAACATGTGTGACCGGGCCGTCATGGTAAGTTCAAAGTTCAAGTGTGTAAAACCTACAATGTTAATTGTAAATAGCCGAAAGTGAACAAAGGGCAGTAGTATGTAAGCTGAGAGATCAACACGATTGATTGGAGGTTGATGGTGAGAATGTGACAAGGTGGTATTGGTAAGTTCAGTTTAAAAGTTGAGGTTTGGAATAACAGTTATGGCAAATAAGGTTACAATTTAAATGTATTAGTGAAGTCTCCATTTTTACTTATAATGAATACGGCTCTCTGATAATATACAGCATTAGCCATAGCACAATGTCCCCGTTTGTGGTTTAACCGTCTCTTGAGGACCTGAGGTCATATGCCTTTGTCACTGGCAGAACTAGCCGTGATGTCACAAATGAATCCAACTTGCTCTATTCCAGAACTGGGCTCCCCCTGGATGTGACAAGGGAGATAACAAGTGCCTGACAGCCCCTCCCTCGAAACCTCATCTGTGTAGCTGGCCACATTGAAGAAATCATGATTGTCACAGAGTATACAGTTGTATGTATTCTCCGATAAGTATTTCTATTAGGAAGAGGGACAACTATCAGTCTTTGTGTATGGAAGGGTAACAACCACTAGCATTTCTGTATGTAAGAGGACCAACATCAAGTGTTTATGGAAGGAACCTTTGACCACCAAAACAAACTGTATGGTGGGGGACCAACCACCAGTGTTTCTGTATGGTGGGGACATTGAACCACCAAAATTACTATGGAGGGGGACCAACCACCATGGTTATACAGTGTTATTAACTATATAGAGTGGATTGCAATGTTTCTGACATGTTAGTGTTCAAGACCGATTTTGTCTTTGATATCCAGTGTAACAGGGGCTGTGGACAGTCAACTGATAAAAAAACCATAACAGTAAAACAGTACACATTTTATAGAGTTGTACACGATTGGATTTATTCTCTACACCATACACATCACCCAAGTTATCAACCCCCTCATTATTGGACAGTACATGTACAGAAAACGTGACACAATACACATCACACAAGTTATCAACCACCTCGTTAATGGACAGTATAGAGAATGTGACACAATACACATCACACAAGTTATCAACCACCTCGTTAATGGACAGTATAGAGAATGTGACACAATACACATCACACAAGTTATCAACCACCTCGTTAATGGACAGTATAGAGAATGTGACACAATACACATCACACAAGTTATCAACCACCTCGTTAATGGACAGTATAGAGAATGTGACACAATACACATCACACAAGTTATCAACCACCTCGTTAATGGACAGTATAGAGAATGTGACACAATACACATCACACAAGTTATCAACCACCTCGTTAATGGACAGTATAGAGAATGTGACACAATACACATCACACAAGTTATCAACCACCTCGTTAATGGACAGTATAGAGAATGTGACACAATACACATCACACAAGTTATCAACCACCTCGTTAATGGACAGTATAGAGAATGTGACACAATACACATCACACAAGTTATCAACCACCTCGTTAATGGACAGTATAGAGAATGTGACACAATACACATCACACAAGTTATCAACCACCTCGTTAATGGACAGTATAGAGAATGTGACACAATACACATCACACAAGTTATCAACCACCTCGTTAATGGACAGTATAGAGAATGTGACACAATACACATCACACAAGTTATCAACCACCTCGTTAATGGACAGTATAGAGAATGTGACACAATACACATCACACAAGTTATCAACCACCTCGTTAATGGACAGTATAGAGAATGTGACACAATACACATCACACAAGTTATCAACCACCTCGTTAATGGACAGTATAGAGAATGTGACACAATACACATCACACAAGTTATCAACCACCTCGTTAATGGACAGTATAGAGAATGTGACACAATACACATCACACAAGTTATCAACCACCTCGTTAATGGACAGTATAGAGAATGTGACACAATACACATCACACAAGTTATCAACCACCTCGTTAATGGACAGTATAGAGAATGTGACACAATACACATCACACAAGTTATCAACCACCTCGTTAATGGACAGTATAGAGAATGTGACACAATACACATCACACAAGTTATCAACCACCTCGTTAATGGACAGTATAGAGAATGTGACACAATACACATCACACAAGTTATCAACCACCTCGTTAATGGACAGTATAGAGAATGTGACACAATACACATCACACAAGTTATCAACCACCTCGTTAATGGACAGTATAGAGAATGTGACACAATACACATCACACAAGTTATCAACCACCTCGTTAATGGACAGTATAGAGAATGTGACACAATACACATCACACAAGTTATCAACCACCACCTTAATGGACAGTATAGAGAATGTGACAAGACTTCAATGAAGTATGAAGTACAACAATGTGTTGTATGTGTTACATATATTGTTGTACATTGATAAGTTAAAAGTGTTCTCTCCCATAAAATAGTCACATAAATTACTCCCAATTATCAGCCAACTTCAAAAACAACACAAACATTTCCTTTCCAGAAAATAGAATTTCTTTAATGTCCATTCAGGATGCTTACTTTTAACATATTCATTCTTTGCCATCTTCCATTCCACAGTTACTGAAACAGAAACTAAATCACTCTCCATATATATATAACATGTATCAAACTTAGGTGGTATATTTATTGGCAAAGAAAACCGTTTTAAGATACAATGAGCATTTTATTTGACTACCAGTGTCATGGTGTTATATAACTTGTTTTGACAATGTTTTTCTCTCCTAAACTTCAACGGTATAAAGGTAGACATACTCTGTATGTCAGTCGGGTCATTCTTCCTACTTAATCATTACAATCTACTTACTATGGCAGTTTCTCTCTCAGAGTAACTGTTGAATGTCAAACAGAAAAAGTTCTTATCGATATACATATAGTTTTAAACTATCTTTATATCAATTATGGTGGGAAATTCTCCTATCTATAAGAAAATCAATGTATATATCACATCAGACTTGCTAAATTGGCAATAAAGTTTTCAATCTTGTATAATGATTCTTAATATTAATAATTTCAATAATTTTGATATGCATGTTGCAGAAAAGGGAATTAAGGCCTTTTTTTAACCTTATTATCAAATAACATCTTATTGTATTTCTGAATTGTAATCACAGACATGTTACAAATGCTTTTTTGAAAATCAATTTACATAATTACTGGTATATGGAGGTCACTTGATTTTCTGAATTCTTCATCACAGTTAAAGTCAAGATGAAACTGTCACAAATTATATTTTCAGAGCTAAGGGATCATCTGTTTATACATAAATAAATTTATTTTTCTTTACTGCTCTTTAGATTAATTTGCCAGATGGTTTGTTTGTTTGTTTGTTATTATATTTTGATTAATGATTAACTGACAACACTAGAGCCCTATGTAGTTAACTGGAGAAAACACAAGAAGCTGCCAAAAAGTTAAGTCTCATGACCAAAAATAAATCCTTCCAAGAGAAAAACATTTCTCCAAGTTTAAGAAACAAAATATACAAAAAAGCAAACATTTTGCTGCCTAAATCCAGAAAAAAGTTATGTTTAAAGGGACAGGATGCTGAGATTAAATCTGTTGTTCTGTCACTAACCTAACCAGTACTGAGTTGACAATAATTGTCTGTTTATCATATGTATCACGACTTTCAATTTTGTTGTTCATTATAGCTGTAATAACAGAAAATAAGCAGCACCGTTTCTGTCACAAATTATGAATTGGAAAACACAATGAGGTAACGTTTCAGTGATTGATTCATAATGATTTAAGATATGTTAACTGATAATAATACATGTACCTGACTGTATGGTAATAAATCCCAATGGTTTATTCTGTAAATCTATTTTACACAACTTCTAGCCATGGGTAATATTGATCATTCCAGTGGGGAAGTTTTCACCCAGTCCAATATTAATTTAATTCACTCTTTGTCGATACATTCTATGTTCACCCAGTGTTAATTTCGCCCTTCATGCGTAATTACTATTTAGTCATCGTCATAATGAATTCACCCTCATTGGGGAGGGCGAAAAAGATCAAGTTAAACTGTGCAAAAATTCCCAGTATACATTAACCAAACACAATGTAATAAGGTTGTACTAGAGGACATCACACCCTGTCCTTGACATTGTATACCTCTGTCACAAACCTATAACTGAGTACAGTAAAACAGACAGCCAAGTTACTGAAAAATAGGTTTAATAAACCTATATTGCTGGAAACATGAAAAGATTTGTTTTGGGCATTTTTTTAACATCAGACTTTGAACAATTCAAATAATAAACCTGCTCAGACCAACTGTTTCCTAGATTGTGTTAATATATAAATATGCTCACACAGGCAGACTGAAAAATTTCACAAATAATGACAGTCAAAGTTCCTGCAGTTATTATGATAGCAATATTAAAATTAGGTGGTCGGGTGGCGCAGTGGATATCACATTTACCTTTCACCAAGGCGGTTGGGGTGTGATTCCTTGATCAGACATGAAAAGCTATGGGGTCACCTGCCCGACCATATGGGTTTTCCCCCCCCAGTAAGAAAGACCCCCCCCCCCCCCGCTATCATCCGGGCCAACAAGAGTGATAAGTATAAGTTGTATAAACTTGTTTCATAATTGTTGTTAAATAAAGTTTATATTTAAATATTAAAATTGCTAAACTTGTGAAATAGTTTATTAATTCTTAATGTAAGTAAAGATCAACTAATGACATGAATAATTAACATGGTAAAATAAATGATCTTTTAAATTAACAGTGCTATTTCCAGCATAGATTTCAAGAGTACAGGATATAAAAGCCCAAAAATAACACTAGTGACCTGTTACATCAAAATAAGGCTGTGAGCCAGGCACCTGTCTACTAGTCATCGCGGAGGTTACATACAGTCATGCTAAAACAGATATAGGACATATATATATAGCAGTAATATGATAATTTCTTAAAACCGCTAATTATAATTGAATAATAATTGATTAAGAAGTTAAAAAAACAAAAACAAAACAACAATCAACAATTCTATATAATATTACTTATAGAACATGAAATCAATATCAAAAACAATCTTGTCATACAAAACAAAAATCATAAAAAACACCTAAATAAAGTAAAGTTCTACCTGAAATGTAACTTTATGACTTGTAAATGTATGTGTTCACCATATTTCATATATCGGTAATGAAAATAATTGTTCACATTCAGAAAACACATCGTCATTCATCCGGTCATAATTTTACCCTGACCAGACCAGACATCCCACTTGTTTTAAAAATAAAACAAAACAACATAATTACAATGATTGTGCAGCACTATGACAGAAAAGCTCCAATGTTTATTGGATCTGTGAAATCTAATACCGGAAAAGTAAATTACTGGTAGTGACAATTTTATATAAACAAACACTTCTTTTTAAAAAATGTGATCAATACACACAGGCACACATCAGTACATCGTACACAAAATCAGTCCCTTCTATATAATGGAGACAGAAACTTATTACACAAAGTAGATTTATAGGTTAAGAAAGAACCTTTGCCATGTGGTGCACCTCAAAAATTCTATTTTAGGAGGGCTGAAATTTCTCTATACCTCAAAAATCCTATCTGGGGCGGGCTGAAAATTCTCTATACCTCAAAAATCCTATCTGGGGCGGGCTGAAATTTCTCTATACCTCAAAAATCCTATCTGGGGTGGGCTGAAATTTCTCTGTCCACATCACATAGGACTGATTAATTGTTTTTCTCCCACACTTATCTACTTCACCAAGTCAACTTAAATGGCACATTGATGGTGCGGCAATGGTGATACACTCCCGTCGTTAGGGGATGACATTTTTAGAACAAAGGTGCATGTGGACTGTTTTATCCAGAAGGATCAAGACAGATCTATCTTTTCCCTCGAAAACAAAAGGGAATGCACCCAAGAATCGTTGGCAAGAAACAAATTTGCAATTACTATCTCAAATAAGAACAGAATTCCTAAAAGAAAAGTCATTGAAACTATAAATATTTGAAATAAATTACCATTTGAAATAGAAATCACAGCACTTGAAAACTAGCTCCATTGATTTAATTCCAAATAAATACAAAAAATATAATCTTCAATAAATATGGTATTATCTATATAAAAACGAATTCTTGAAATTAATGTCAACTAAATTTAACAAAACAAATACTTTCCCCAACATGCTGACCAGGATCTGTGAGCTACACAGATATATCCTTGAATCTGTTTTGTTCAATATTTCTGTACTTTTTACATGGAATGCTCACAGGATATATTATTACAATCCACAATTATTTACTGTCGACTGGTCATAAAAGTATCTTTCATTTCACCCCAGTAATACCTTCCAATCACACAATAATTCATGTGTCAGATATGCTTAATAATAAATACAATCAAACTGAAATAATGTTATCTTATGAGGTAAACTAATGATAAATCATACAAAACACGATAAATTAATTCTGTAAAATGTCCTGATCATTGATAACAGTTCCTTTTGACTTTAATTCCCCTATATAAAAAGTTATATCCCTTAAATAAGTGATTATCTTCCCTCTACATTAGTCATCATGTTCCCTTTCCATAAGTAATTATCTCCCTTGCATAAGTCATTATCTCCCTTACATAAGTAATTATCTCATTTACATAAGTAATTATCTCCCTTATATAAGTCATTATCTCCCTTACATAAATCATTATCTCCTTTACATAAGTAATGATCTCATTCACATCAGGAATTATCTCATTTACATAAGTCATTGTCTCCCTTACATAAGTCATTATCTCCTTTACATAAGTAATTATCTCATTCACATCAGTAATTATCTCATTTACATAAGTAATTATCTTCCTTACATAAGTAATTATCTCATTTACATAAGTAATCATCTCCCTTACATAAGTCATTATCTCCCTTACATAAATCATTATCTCCTTTACATAGGTAATTATCTCCCCTACATAGAATTGAGTATCTACCCTCGGTGGTTAAGTATTTCCCCTATCAACAATTACATCTATAAGACTAATTCCACACCAGTAATTGACTTAATTACAAACCAGTCATTGATTAGTCAGTTGTTGAAGTAAGAATTTGCACCCGATATTCCATCACAGTTGTGCAATTTGTCACCCAATAGTGTACAACACTCATCATGTTTCCATGTTGGTCAGGATACGAGATACTTCCGCTCGTTGACCAGTGGACATGTGCTGCAAGATATGTATGATGGAGTCCATGGTAACCTCTGGGTTATCCTCGATAAGGCTGGAAAAGAGAAAAAATAAAGGTACCAACAGATATAACATGTCGATGATTAAAACTTTTAAAAGTGAATTTTGGGCATTACATAGAATATTTAAACACATAAATATCAATAGCCAACACGGGAAGATTTGAAAATAAGAGTTCAATATGCTTATATAGGAACAAGGCATTAATAATCTTGCAAAATCTGTAGTTGTATCGTACCTGCGGACTTGGTGGATGACGTGGTCCCGCTGAAGACAGCGAATATTCTCTGTGACTGCGTTGTGGCCAGAGTTCTCGTCCAGCTGTTCTACCAGCCAACCTACTACTGATTTGTCATCTTCCCACATGTATGCCTAAAGGAAATTTCAAAATATTAATTATGGTGGCTATTAGATCTTTAATGCCTTAGACATGCTTCCCAGGAAAAGCATTCAATTCATGGCCAAGAAGTCACCAATAAAAATTGCTTCAAACTGATCTGCCATTGTAAGTATTACTTATTAATAAGCTGGTAACAACCTTAATCTGCAGGTCCCACCCACAAAATGCAGGTGACTTGACAAGTCTTCAAATCACGAGTACTACCACTATCTTACTGACCAAGGTGCTTCTTTAATACCATGAAAATCAACATTTAGTTTTTTTCATAAAATTTGACATCGGACACCATTCGACATCAAGCCGCCCAGTTATTTATAGATTTCTATCGCCTATGCCTTTACTTATATGACCGTGCCTTTACTAACATCACCTATGACTTTACTTACATTGTGTATGCCTTTACCTGCATCACCTATGTCTTTACTAATATGACTTTGCCTTTACTTTCATTGACTTTGCCTTTACTTTCATCGCCTATGCCTTTTCTTACATCGCCTTTGCCTACTTACATCGCCTATATGCCTTTACTTATATTCACTTTGCTTTTACTTCCATCGCATATGTCTTTACCTACATTGCCTATGCCTTTACTTACATTACCTATGCCTTTACTTACACTGACAGCCTTTATTTACATTACCTGTGCATTTACTTACTATGACAATGCCGTAACTTACATCACCTAAGCCTTTACTTACACTGACTGGACCTTTACTTCCATCGCCAATGTCTTAACTTATTTACATCATCACCTATGCCTTTACTTACACTGACAGCCTTTACTTACATTGACTATGCTTTTACTTACTATGACAATGCCTTAACTTACATCACCTTTACTTACATTGACCATGCCTTTTACTTAGATTGACTGTACCTTTACTTCACTGACTATGCCTTTACTTACATTGACTATGCTTTCACTTACATCACCTATGCCTTTACTTACACTGCCAGCCTTTACTTACATTGACTATGCTTTCACTTACATCACCTATGCCTTTACTTACATTGACTATGCCTTTACTTACACTGACTGTGCCTTTACTTACATCGCCTAAGCCTTTACTTACCATGACAGTGCCTTTACTAACATTGACTATGCCTTTAGTTTACTTACATTGACTGTGCCTTTACTAACATTGACAGTGCCTTTACTTACATTGACTGTGCCTTTACTTACATTGACTATGCCTTTAGTTTACTTACATTGACTATGCCTTTACTTACATTGACTATGCCTTTAGTTTACTTACATTGACTGCCTTTACTTACATTGACTGTGCCTTTACTTACCTTGACTATGCCTTTACTTACATTGACTATGCCTTTACTTACACTGACTGTGCCTTTACTTACCTTGACTATGCCTTTACTTACATTGACTATGCCTTTACTTACATTGACTATGCCTTTACTTACATTGACTATGCCTTTACTTACATTGACTATGCCTTTACTTACATTGACTATGCCTTTACTTACATTGACTATGCCTTTACTTACATTGACTATGCCTTTACTTACATTGACTATGCCTTTACTTACATTGACTATGCCTTTACTTACATTGACTATGCCTTTACTTACATTGACTATGCCTTTACTTACATTGACTATGCCTTTAGTTTACTTACATTGACTGCCTTTACTTACATTGACTATGCCTTAACTTACATTGACTATGCCTTTAGTTTACTTACATTGACTATGCCTTTACTTACCTTGACTATGCCTTTACTTACATTGCCTATGCCTTTAGTTTACTTACATTGACTATGACTTTACTTACATTGACTATGCCTTTATTTACATCGCCTAAGCCTTTACTTACATTGACTGTGCCTTTACTTACTTTGACAGTGCCTTTTTTTACCGGTACATTGACTGTGCCTTTACTTACATTGACTAAGCCTTTAGTTAACTTACATCCCCTATGCCTTTACTTACCTTGACTTTAGTTTACTTACATTGACTATGACTTTACTTACATTGACTATGCCTTAACTTACATTGACTATGCCTTTAGTTAACTTACATCTCCTAGGCCTTTACTTACCTTGACTATGCCTTAACTTACATTGACTATGCCTTTAGTTAACTTACATCTCCTAGGCCTTTACTTACCTTGACTATGCCTTAACTTACATTGACTATGCCTTTAGTTAACTTACACTGACTGTGCCTATATTTACATCACCTCTGCCTTTACTTACATCAACTATGCTTTTACTTACATCACCTCTGCCTTTACTTACCTTGACTATGCCTTTACTTTCATTGAATATGCCTTTTCTTACACTGACTGTGCCTTTCCTTACATCGCCTAAGCCTTTACTTACATTGACTATGCCATTAGTTTACTTACATTGACTGTGCCTTGACTTACATTGACTATGCCTTTACTAACATTGACAGCCTTTAATTACATTGAGTATGCTTTTACTTACTATGACAATGCCTTAACTTACTTGCCTTTACTTACATTGACTGTGCCTTGACTTACATTGACTATGCCTTTACTAACATTGGCAGCCTTTAATTACATTGACTATGCTTTTACTTACTATGACAATGCCTTAACTTACATTAACTGCCTTTACTTACATTGACTGTGCCTTGACTTACATTGACTATGCCTTTACTAACATTGACTATGCCTTTAGTTTTCTTACATTGACTGCCTTTACTTACATGGACTGTGCCTTTACTTACCTTGACTATGCCTTAACTTACATTGACTATGCCTTTACTAACATTGCCTATGCTTTTACTTACTATGACAATGCCTTAACTTACGTCGCCTTTACTTACATTGACTATGCCATTAGTTTACTTACATTGACTGTGCCTTGACTTACATTGACTATGCCTTTACTAACATTGACTATGCTTTTACTTACATCACCTATGCCTTTACTTACACTGACAGCCTTTACTTACATTGACTATGCCTTTACTAACATTGACTATGCTTTTACTTACTATGACAATGCCTTAACTTACATCGCCTTTACTTACATTGACTATGCTTTTATTTACTATGACAATGCCTTAACTTACATTGACTGCCTTTACTTACATTGACTGTGCCTTTACTTACCTTGACTATGCCTTTACTTACCTTGACTATGCCTTTACTTACATTGACTATGTCTTTAGTTTACTTACATTGACTATGCCTTTACTTACATTGACTATGCCTATAGTTTACTTACATTGACTATGCCTTTACTTACCTTGACTATGCCTTTACTTACCTTGACTATGCCTTTACTTACATTGACTGTGCCTTTACTTACCTTGACTATGCCTTTCCTTACCTTGACTATGCCTTTACTTACATTGACTATGCCTATAGTCAATGTAAGTAAAGGCATAGTCAATGTAAGTAAAGGCACAGTGCCTTTACTTACATTGACTGTGCCTTTACTTACATTGACTATGCCTTTAGTTATCTTGACTATGCCTTTACTTACATTGACTATGCCTTTACTTACATTGCCTATGCCTATAGTTTACTTACATTGATTATGCCTTTACTTACATTGACTATGCCTTTACTTACATTGCCTATGCCTATAGTTTACTTACATTGATTATGCCTTTACTTACATTGACTATGCCTATAGTCAATGTAAGTAAAGGCATAGTCACTGTAAGTAAAGGCATAGTCAATGTAAGTTAAGGCATAGTCAAGGTAAGTAAAGGCACAGTCAATGTAAGTAAACTAAAGGCATAGTCAGTGTAAGTAAAGGCATAGTCAATGTAAGTTAAGGCACAGTCAATGTAAGTAAAGGCACTGTGCCTTTACTTACATTGACTATGCCTTTACTTACATTGACTATGTCTTTAGTTTACTTACATTGACTATGCCTTGACTTACATCAACTAAGCCTTTATTTACCTTGACTATGCCTTTACTTACATTGACTATGTCTTTAGTTTACTTACATTGGCTATGCCTTTACTTACCTTGACTATGCCTTAACTTACATTGACTATGCCTTTACTACATTGACTATGCCTTTACTTACCATGACAGTGCCTTTACTTACATTGACTATGTCTTTACTTACATTGACTATGCCTTTAGTTTACTTACATTGACTGTGCCTTTACTTACATTGACTATGCCTTTACTTACATTGACTATGCCTTTACTTACCATGACAGTGCCTTTACTTACATTGACTATGTCTTTACTTACATTGACTATGCCTTTAGTTTACTTACATTGACTGTGCCTTTACTTACATTGACAGTGCCTTTTTTTACCGGTACATTGACTGTGCCTTTACTTACATTGACTATGCCTTTAGTTTACTTTCATTGACTGTGCCTTTACTTACATTGACAGTGCCTTTTTTTACTGGTACATTGACTGTGCCTTTACTTACATTGACTATGCCTTTAGTTTACTTTCATTGACTGTGCCTTTACTTACATTGACAGTGCCTTTTTTTACTGGTACATTGACTGTGCCTTTACTTACATTGACTATGCCTTTAGTTTACTTTCATTGACTGTGCCTTTACTTACATTGACTATGCCTTTAGTTTACTTTCATTGACTGTGCCTTTACTTACATTGACTATGCCTTTAGTTTACTTTCATTGACTGTGCCTTTACTTACATTGACTATGCCTTTAGTTTACTTTCATTGACTGTGCCTTTACTTACATTGACTATGCCTTTAGTTTACTTTCATTGACTGTGCCTTTACTTACATTGACAATGCCTTTAGTTTACTTTCATTGACTGTGCCTTTACTTACATTGACTATGCCTTTAGTTTACTTTCATTGACTGTGCCTTTACTTACATTGACTATGCCTTTAGTTTACTTTCATTGACTGTGCCTTTACTTACATTGACAATGCCTTTAGTTTACTTTCATTGACAGGGCCTTTACTTACATTGACAGTGCCTTGGTCCTCCACAAACCAGCGACTAAGGCTGGAGTTAAGCTGTCCTTCACTCAGGTTTGATGTGAAAGTATGCATCTTTAGTTTGAGTTCACACTCAAGCAAACGACGTCTCAGTCTCCAATACATGAACTCTCGGCTCCGCTTCCACTTGAGAATGGCCTGAAGGATTTCAGTGATTTTAGATAGTATTCACTTCTTTAGTATGTCATATAGGGCAAAGAAATGGAAACTTTCATTTATTCAATCAAGAAAGCAAATAAGTCTGCTCTGATAAAACTCGACGGAATTTCGGTTTAGGGGGAGCATGATTGTATAAATTAGAAAATTTCCTTTCACTAAATGGCACTTCACACATCTTCTTATCTGGGTATATCATTTTCTTAGCAATACCACCATTTACAAAACTAAACTCAATTATTATCTGTTGTTAAAGTGCATCCTAGTGTAGTGTATATGGTACAGCGTTAAATTCCAACACTGAAGATCACTAGGAACTATGTTTTAAGTTTACACTGCATGCTCACAATCAATAGTATACATACTGAAACAACATTCTTTTCCTCCATGCGGCCAGGTGTGTCATGGAGGTCAGCGAACTGTATAGCCACTTGGTGGTACATAGGTACAAGTCTCTCCTCGTGTTGAGCTAACTGTTCCTCCAACGTTGCCTTTTCCTCTGCACCAAGGTTTGGTGAATTTAGCTTCTCTATAAACTTCTTACAACCTGGGTCCAAACGTCGCATTGACTTGATTAAGTCTTTCCGCCTGAACTTGATTTCCACAGTGCCCTCAGGCTCTAGAACACCACCACTGCAGACACACAAGTAGAATTAGTTATAACTAGAAACAGCATGTTAAAATTTCTTGTAAAATGAGGAATGTTTGCCCTAGCTCTATTTTGCCATGACCTTTGTCTTACACATTGAAAAGGAAAAAGTCTACACCAGACAAATTTGATTAGAAATAACCAAGGGCAAAATCTAGTGATGTGAAAATATCTCAGTTTACAGTATACAGGTCAAATAAAATACACCTGTTTCATCTTAACAAGCTCAAAAGAGTATCTCAAGTCACCACTAAGTCAAAGTGTACCTGAAAGCTTCACTTATAGCTTTAAAAACACCTGTATCTTAACCGTTACATCAAGATATCAAATACCATCCTATCATGTAATTCAACATCCATATGAATACTGCAATGTCCTACCGGCATAGTTGGTCAGCAAACATCTCCATCTGGACTGGGTTGATGGTGGGATCAACGACTACCCAGGCCCCTCCTCTGAGCTCTGCATAAGGAGGGATGTAAACAAAGACAGGGCGATTGTATTCCCTCAGCGCGTCCACGATGTATGAGCCAAACTTGAGAACCTGGTCATACATGTCTGTAAGGAATGAGATACAAACACTGAAGGAATTTTTGTATTGATGTAGATTCATACTCATACTATGTACAATATGAACTACTTCTTAAACTGATAACAACCTATTAAGCTTGTTTAAAAGAGGACAAGAAATGTAACATGTTATAAATCACCTTTCACTTGTGACTTCCTTTAGCTTATTCACCCCTACATATTTAAACTGGACTTGCCCAGCCTTTGATTTAGAAAGGCTCAAATGTGACTTTAGAGGTGAATGGTTTAAAAGAGCTTTTAGAATCGTCTCACCTTTCATGCCCCCAGAGAAACCCCTCCAGTTAGCAAATACCAACAGGGGGAGCTCCTCTCGGTTGAAGTCTTTAATGGCCTGAGCCGTCTTAAAAGCTGAATCTGGGAACCACACCTGGCCAGCCTGCTGGATTACCTGTAATGTAACATTAACACTATACACCAGTAAAAAACAGAATCTGGGAACCACACCTGGCCAGCCTGCTGAATTACCTGTAATGTAACATTAACACTATACAACAGTAACGTACCCTGCTGGATTACCTGTTATGTAACAATAACACTATACAACAGAAACGTACAGAATCTGGGAACCACACCTGGCCAGACTGCTGGATTACCTGTAATGTAACACTAACACTCTACAACAGTAACATACAGAATCTGGGAACCACACCTGGCCAGCCTGCTGGATTACCTGTAACGTAACACTAACACTATACAACAGTAACATACAGAATCTGGGAACCACACCTGGCTAGCCTGCTGGATTACCTGTTATGTAACAATAACACTATACAACAGAAACGTACAGAATCTGGGAACCACACCTGGCCGGCCTGCTGGATTACCTGTAACATAACACTAACACTATACAACAGTAACGTACAGAATCTGGGAACCACACCTGGCCAGCCTGCTGGATTACCTGTACTGTAACACTAACACTATACAACAGAAATATACAGAATCTGGGAATCACACCTGGCCAGCCTGCTGGATTACCTGTAATGTAACACTAACACTATACAACAGTAACGTACAGAATCTGGGAACCACACCTGGCCAGCCTGCTGGATTACCTGTAATGTAACACTAACACTATACAACAGTAACGTACAGAATCTGGGAACCACACCTGGCCAGCCTGCTGGATTACCTGTAATGTAACACTAACACTATACAACAGTAACGTACAGAATCTGGGAACCACACCTGGCCAGCCTGCTGGATTACCTGTAATGTAACACTAACACTATACAACAGTAACGTACAGAATCTGGGAACCACACCTGGCCAGCCTGCTGGATTACCTGTAATGTAACACTAACACTATACAACAGTAACGTACAGAATCTGGGAACCACACCTGGCCAGCCTGCTGGATTACCTGTAATGTAACACTAACACTATACAACAGTAACGTACAGAATCTGGGAACCACACCTGGCCAGCCTGCTGGATTACCTGTAATGTAACACTAACACTATACAACAGTAACGTACAGAATCTGGGAACCACACCTGGCCAGCCTGCTGGATTACCTGTAATGTAACACTAACACTATACAACAGTAACGTACAGAATCTGGGAACCACACCTGGCCAGCCTGCTGGATTACCTGTAATGTAACACTAACACTATACAACAGTAACGTACAGAATCTGGGAACCACACCTGGCCAGCCTGCTGGATTACCTGTAATGTAACACTAACACTATACAACAGTAACGTACAGAATCTGGGAACCACACCTGGCCAGCCTGCTGGATTACCTGTAATGTAACACTAACACTATACAACAGTAACGTACAGAATCTGGGAACCACACCTGGCCAGCCTGCTGGATTACCTGTAATGTAACACTAACACTATACAACAGTAACGTACAGAATCTGGGAACCACACCTGGCCAGCCTGCTGGATTACCTGTAATGTAACACTAACACTATACAACAGTAACGTACAGAATCTGGGAACCACACCTGGCCAGCCTGCTGGATTACCTGTAATGTAACACTAACACTATACAACAGTAACGTACAGAATCTGGGAACCACACCTGGCCAGCCTGCTGGATTACCTGTAATGTAACACTAACACTATACAACAGTAACGTACAGAATCTGGGAACCACACCTGGCCAGCCTGCTGGATTACCTGTAATGTAACACTAACACTATACAACAGTAACGTACAGAATCTGGGAACCACACCTGGCCAGCCTGCTGGATTACCTGTAATGTAACACTAACACTATACAACAGTAACGTACAGAATCTGGGAACCACACCTGGCCAGCCTGCTGGATTACCTGTAATGTAACACTAACACTATACAACAGTAACGTACAGAATCTGGGAACCACACCTGGCCAGCCTGCTGGATTACCTGTAATGTAACACTAACACTATACAACAGTAACGTACAGAATCTGGGAACCACACCTGGCCAGCCTGCTGGATTACCTGTAATGTAACACTAACACTATACAACAGTAACGTACAGAATCTGGGAACCACACCTGGCCAGCCTGCTGGATTACCTGTAATGTAACACTAACACTATACAACAGTAACGTACAGAATCTGGGAACCACACCTGGCCAGCCTGCTGGATTACCTGTAATGTAACACTAACACTATACAACAGTAACGTACAGAATCTGGGAACCACACCTGGCCAGCCTGCTGGATTACCTGTAATGTAACACTAACACTATACAACAGTAACGTACAGAATCTGGGAACCACACCTGGCCAGCCTGCTGGATTACCTGTAATGTAACACTAACACTATACAACAGTAACGTACAGAATCTGGGAACCACACCTGGCCAGCCTGCTGGATTACCTGTAATGTAACACTAACACTATACAACAGTAACGTACAGAATCTGGGAACCACACCTGGCCAGCCTGCTGGATTACCTGTAATGTAACACTAACACTATACAACAGTAACGTACAGAATCTGGGAACCACACCTGGCCAGCCTGATGGATGACCTGTAATGTAACACTAACACTATACAACAGTAACGTACAGAATCTGGGAACCACACCTGGCCAGCCTGCTGGATTACCTGTAATGTAACACTAACACTATACAACAGAAACGTACAGAATCTGGGAATCACACCTGGCCAGCCTGCTGGATTACCTGTAACATAACACTTACACTATACAACAGAAATGTAGAAACATGTAATAGGTCATCTCCTAAATATGATTTATTTTGACAGCTACCTTGCCTTACACTCCCAGGATGAATTAACTAAATGTCTTTCATCTTCACAACTTACCACTAAAATGTTTAAGTGCTGAAATTACAGCACTATAATTCTGACTAGATTGTCACTAAAATAGCAATTTTCTAGACTATTTACTGTGGCCAGTACATCAATGCAAAGCTGATATGTTCTGTGTTCAGATATGATTCAACATTGCATATTTACGAACCAGTGGTTATATTAAGTGTTAAGTTCTCCATACTTATACTTGGTATACAATATTTAAGAATTAAGTGTTAGATAACCATCCTCTCCACTGCTATGAACTAAAACTACACTTTTGGGAGCTTTGAGGATTGCAAATACTTGAAACTTAATCATACCTTTGAATCAGAATCAAGATTGGCAGGGTCAGCTGGAATTGTGACCTCTACTGTCCTAGTCTCGACACTGATAACTCCTATGGGGATGCCCCCTAGTCGGGCGCGTCCCACCACCACAGTCTGGGCCCATGGCTGAAGGATCTCCTTAAAGCTGTCCTTGTCAAAGAATCCACTCTGCCATTCATTCTTCTTGTCTAAAACATGTAAAGCCATAACGCATTAGGTCAGTTAAAATACACAAGTCTATCATTGTCCCATAAGGTCAGATAAAATACACAAGTCTATCATTGTCCCATAAGGTCAGATAAAATACACAAGTCTATCATTGTCCCATAAGGTCAGATAAAATAGACAAGTCTATCATTGTCCCATAAGGTCAGATAAAATAGACAAGTCTATCATTGTCCCATAAGGTCAGATAAAATAGACAAGTCTATCATTGTCCCATTAGGTCAGATAAAATAGGCAAGTCTATCATTGTCCCATAAGGTCAGATAAAATAGACAAGTCTATCATTGTCCCATTAGGTCAGATAAAATAGAAAAGTCTATCATTGTCCCATTAGCTCAGATAAAATAGACAAGTCTATCATTGTCCCATAAGGTCAGATAAAATAGACAAGTCTATCATTATCCCATTAGGTCAGATAAAATAGACAAGTCTATCATTGTCCCATTAGGTCAGATAAAATAGACAAGTCTATCATTGTCCCATTAGGTTGATGGCCTTAAAAAAACTGGAACATTCCAAAGGTAACTCACTATCTCTTCTTTATTCACTTTTACAAACAGATATATATATATATATAGTGAAAACATTGTAGGTCAACAAGGGGGTCATTGTAAATTCTGCCTTCGGCTTACACTGGCAAAGGGGCTTATTGTTTTCAAATTTTAATCACACCCTATTTTATTTCTATTACTCGTATGGTTTGATGAAAATTATTATAATCCAATGATACAAACCTGGGTGTGGCCTTCCAGACAGCATCCAACGAGGGTCGTATGGTGCTTTGGTGGGTACAAAGTCCACATCTCGCTCAATAGGATCTAGTACAGGCAAGACAGGCAGGGGTGCTCCATGGTGCTATATAAAATGTTATTATTTTCATTGCACACTTCAAAAGATAAAGTACAGGCAAGGGTGCTCCAAAATCCTATATCAATATTTCGAAGTTTTCTTGTGATTAATTCATAGTTCTTCACCTATATGCCAATAAAGTGCCAAACCTCTGTATATAGTAAGACACAAGAACCAATTTCAGAACCTGACTCTCTGCCATCCCAAGAGGTATTCCCATACAAAATTTGGCAACTGTAAGTGATAGAATACAAAAGATATGCTTAGGACAAGGTGATGAAAAGGTGATGAAAGAGTGAAGAAAGGGCCTTAACTCTGTTTATATAGGAGCACCAGACCTGACTTCAGTACAAACACCCTGGGGTACTTACACACAAAAGTTTTCAATTTTAGCTGAGTGAGTATATAAGGTATGTCCCGGATTAAGTAACAAACAGCAAACAAAGGGCCATAGCTCTGTATATACTGTTAAAATATTCATCTTTAATTCACTCATGAATAAATAATTCTTTATATTTTTTTTTATAAAGAATCGCAGTACTCCGTAAAGAGTTCATGTCACTACATGCTATTTACTATTGTGCCTAATTCAGAAACAAAGTTATTTGTAGTATTTTAACTTGGGGTTATGTTGTTTTGCATCCATTTAGCTAAATTGCTATGTCAGAGACAAAAATTGACATAATTTTTTTTTGGAAATGGAGACAAAATTAGGGAGGGGACAGGCACCACATTTGCCAAATGGGAGAGGGGGCTTATTTGCGAGAGCGGGCTTATTTGCGGTAAAATACGGTAATGTGGCATAAAATCTTATTTCTGTAAAGACTGAGTCCACCATCCCAAGAGATACATGCACTTACAGAAAAAACGATTCATTTTTCATAGCACACCTTACAGCAAAATTTGAGATCAAGAAGCTCTTGAAAGTTGTACAATACTGTATCTGGTATGTAAAGAATTGTTTTGTCAACCCAATGATTAAAGACTTTACCTTAGGTATATAAGAAAGCCACTCCAGGATTTTGTTGGTACCTTCGAAGTCATCACTGGCGACATCATGTGATACACCGTTACTGTGCATGATCTGTATTCCACCCAGCTGGTTGTTACTAGTGTACACCTCACGACCCAGTACCTGTCATAACGGTGATAATCAACTTAAAAGATATTAAACATGTCATTTTGTTTTTACAGACAACTTTTCAGAATTTCATTTTCTTACATGGATACTTAGCAATGTATCACTGAATTCCCTGTAGCTGGCTCGGGACTGAAGGAGAACAACACATGGCCACAGTGTGGAATTCAATACTGCTTAAAAATTTGTTAGAAAATGGCAATTATTTTGGAAATCAGTGTACTTGTCAGAACACATTTGATAAATGATGATCTACTGTGAATATTTCTCCTGAAGATATCTATCAATGACTAAATCAGACTCGTGCTTACCTTGTTGAGAGCACCAGCTCCTGTGAGGATGATGTGCGAGTTCTCCACCTGTATAGTCCTTTGTCCCAACCTCACAAGGTAGGCACCGATACCAATGGCCCTGCAGGTTACCTAGTACGAAAAGCTAAATGTCACTATCAATGGCCCTGCAGGTTACTTAGTACCAAAAGCTTACTATCAATGTTAATGGCCATGCACGTTACCTAGGACCGAAAGCTTACTATCAATTTTAATGACCCTACAAGCCACTAAATTTAAAAGTTTAATAGATCTTTAAATTGGATTCACATTTTTGCATTCATTTTACCAAAAAATACTGATACTGATATGACATAATGCTAACATATGTTTAATGTCACTTCTGTATAAGGGTCATAGGAGTGTATCGATAAACAGAAATAGGAAGTACATCCCTAGTTGAAAATCCAATGTAGGCATCCAGTATCACAATTTCCACATATTCTAATGTTTAATATTAAACTGATGAATATTGTATGTTTATTATTGACAGAACAGTGTTTTCTCTCAATATTAAAGTATTTCAAAGCAATGCAGGCATTAATTCAGTTGTTATTTTTATCAATGAGCCACATGTATCCATTTTTTCTGTAATTCAGGAAACCGGCTACCTATTTCACTACTGTGAAGTTTTTCAAGAAAGATAACTCTTACCTGCAATTACTATGTGCATTTGGTTTTATTATAAAATGTCATTTTTTAATCGTTTGTAGATAATTTATTTGACATAATTTCAGCATTTATTAAATTGATATACATTAATGTAATACTAATCTATGGCAATATCATTTTTATTGACATTATTTTGCCAAAAAATGTGTTTTTCATTTTTTTTTTTTAAGGTCACTCCTTTTTACATAAATTTCCATTTAAATTCCTTAAAATTATGACAACCTATTTTTTTTGGTGGCAGAAAATTTTCTTTATTTCAAAGCAATATAACTACAAAATTTGAAGAAATTCTACTGAGTAATGGCGACACAATCCTATTACCTTAATCCGAAATATTTATTTTTCAAATACATACAGGTAGGTATGAATATGAAAAGAGACATATCATCTTACCAAGCTGATAGTTGGTATTTCCTCATAGGCTGCTGATGTTTCTCCAGCAATCATTCCTGAGCCCCTTAGATTCTCAACTCCAAGGCCCTCCTCTTTACCTACAAGGAAATTTCCAATGTATGAAAACTTTAGGTACATTGCATCAGTATTAGGGCAAAACTTCAGTACAATTATGACTGTAAATGATACAAGATCTTATCAATTATATGTGACTAAAGTAAATTCTTTATGATCATCTTCATATGTTAGTACTTCTTTGTCAATTCCGTCTTTGCGTATTGCAGAGTTTTTCTGCTCTTGTGAGCAGGTATTGATTGTTACGTCTTTTATTTGTGAGAGTAACGTCATCAATTTTTGAGAAGACAAAGTGATTTTCTCACACAAACCAATGACGTAACAATCAATAACTGTTCCCAAGAGAAGATAACTCTGGAATTTACTTTTTTAATTATGACTGTGGTTGTCAGTAAAGCTTACCTATGATGTCTGTGATTTTGTAGCGAGATTCGCCCTCATCCTCTATCAGTTCTGCCCGGACAGCATTCACGGCACTCACCTTCTTGAAGTCATCAGGAGCCAGATAGAGGTATTTAAAGCCCTATGATAGTATAAACAAGACCCTTCCTCAGTCATTCCATTTGATGAAAATACAATCAGCAAATTTCACTTAATTAAACAATGCCTTACATCCCATATTAATTTCATTTCTGTATTAATCAAAACTCAAACATCAATTTGATAGGTAATCTGGGCACTGAACTTAAGTAACACATGATTTATTTATTTATTTTTGTTAAGAACATTACACGAATTTACTGTTGTGTACCCTTACTTTGTGTGTGTCAGGTTAGCTCCCTTACCTTGTCAGGGTCCTTATTGTCCTGCCAGGCCACTCTAAACAGGTGTTTGAGCTCCTCACTCAGTCCTATTCTTGCTCCACTGTTGGCAGAGATGTAGATTCGTGGTAGGCCCTTAGTCCTTGACAACTCTGATGATCTCTGTATTGACAATGACCAAAGTCTCATTATACCATCTTCCTTCACACAGGTCCATTAGACTACCATAAGTTGGTACATTGAAAGAACATCAAATCATTGAATGGACAATAAAAAAATACTGCCATGTAAATAATTAGTTTTTGGTGTTCACTTTTCAAAAGTAAGGCTCCTTGTCCTGTTAATACACTATCAGAATGGCTGATTATCTGTAGAGCTTAAAAGAGATAAGATCTGGAGAAATGCAGTATCAAGCAGGCTAAGCCCATGTTTCTATGTATACCTTAAACAGCAGGTCTTCCCTAGGCCCAAATGAACCAATCTTATGAGTGATGTCGTTGGCAATGATGATAACGTCTCGCCCACCGGGGTACTCAGGTGTTTTCAATGTCACTTGCCAGGCTACCATGCCAATCTGTTAATCAAAATAAATTCTTGAATTAATCTGTGCCATACATGACAAAATACTGTTTTAAGTTTGTAATTCCAGTGTCTACATTTGGAATAGGTCAGCAAGGGCCCTACCTCACTGTGGGGGGTTACAAAAAGGCATGGACTCCAACATTGTGGTAAACGTCTTTAGATCATTTAAGAAGATTTGGAGAACAACACACTAGTGGTCTTCTGGTAGCACAATGAGTGAGTTAGTTAAAGGTATTTGGCATAATACACATATGAAGTCCTAATTAAGGCCAAAAAATGTCATTTCCAGTTTTCCTAATGCCCCTTTTTTAGACAGTCTAGATTAGATAAAACCAGAAACGCACAATATTTTTTTTAGGCCTTAGTGTATTCCTCATGTTTGCTTCTGCAGGTGTTGAATGTCACTATATATGAAGATAAATTTTACATCTATGTCCCTTGGAGATTTAAAATACAAAATACCATGATTTCCTAGCTAAGAACTAATAGTTCTTCAGAAATCTCAAATTTTACTTGTGAATAATTAAGCTACAATGGCTGAACTGATAAGATTCGGGAATGTGGTACTGTGGGATACTGTGTAGATATAATGGAATGTGGTACTGTGGGACACTGTGAAGAGATAATGGAATGTGTTACTGTATGACACTGTGTGGATATAATGGAATGTGGTACTGTGGGATACTGTGTAGAAATAATGGAATGTGGTACTGTGGGATACTGTGTGGATATAATGGAATGTGGTACTATGGGATACTGTGTAGAGATAATGGAATGGGGTACTGTGTGATACTGTGTAGAGATAATGGAATGTGGTACTGTGTGATACTGTGTAGAGATAATGGAAGTGGTATTGTGTGATACTGTGTAGAGATAATGGAATGTGGTACTGTGTGACAATGTGTAGAGATAATGGAATGTGGTATTGTGTGATACTGTGTAGAGATAATGAAATGTGGTATTGTGTGATACTGTGTAGAGATAATGGAAGGGGTATTGTGTGATACTGTGTAGAGATAATGAAATGTGGTACTGTGTGATACTGTGTAGAGGTAATGGAATGTGGTACTGTGTGATATTGTGTAGAGATAATGGAAGTGGTATTGGGTGATACTGTGTAGAGATAATGGAAGTGGTATTGGGTGATACTGTGTAGAGATAATGGAAGGGGTATTGTGTGATACTGTGTAGAGATAATGGAATGGGGTACTGTGTGACACTGTGTAGAGATAATGAAATGTGGTACTGTGTGATACTGTGTACAGATAATGGAAGTGGTATTGTGTGACACTGTGTAGAGATAATGGAATATGGTACTGTGTGATACTGTGTAGAGATATTGGAATGTGGTACTGTGTGATACTGCGTAGAGATAATGGAATGTGGTACTGTCTGACACTGTGTAGAGATAATGGAATGGGGTACTGTGTGACACTGTGTAGAGATAATGAAATGTGGTACTGTGTGATACTGTGTAGAGATATTGGAATGTGGTACTGTGTGATACTGCGTAGAGATAATGGAATGTGGTACTGTTTGATACTGTGTAGAGATAATGGAATGGGGTACTGTGTGACACTGTGTAGAGACAATGGAATGTGGTACTGTGTGACACTATGTAGAGATAATGGAATGTGGTACTGGGTGATACTGTGTAGAGATAATGGAATGAGGTACTGTGTGATACTGTGTAGTGATAAGGGAATGTGGTACTGCGTGATACTGTGTAGAGATAATGGAATGTGGTACTGTGTGATACTGTGTAGTGATAATGGAATGTGGTACTGCGTGATACTGTATAGAGATAATGGAATGTGGTACTGTATGACACTGTGTAGAGATAATGGAATGTGGTACTGCGTGATACTGTGTAGAGATAATGGAATGTGTTACTGTATGACACTGTGTAGAGATAATGGAATGTGGTACTGTGTGATACTGTGTAGAGATAATGGAATGTGGTACTGCGTGATACTGTATAGAGATAATGGAATGTGGTACTGTAGATATATATTGATGGATTCAAAATTAATATGATATTGAATAAATTGTAAAATGCTGAAAAATAAACTTCAGAAATGATTGTATTGTTTGCTTTATTCTTTACGGTGTTGTGTGAAGACAAAGTAAAGGAGCATCATAAAGCCAACGTCATTATTCATAACGTCACATAGTGTAAACGACGTCAAAATGACGTCAGATTTTTCTTCATGTAAACATTTTCCAATAGCTGCTTTTTTTTATCTGGGTTACCAGTTGATGCCAATTTTTAGATATTCGGTTTCTTGAATATCTTGGCAATAATATAATATAGGTTTTATATATTTTCTCTCAGGTTCATTTTTTACCAAAGTTAAAAAAGTATTGGTCCAGTTTAGCGTGGAATGTACATTACTTTCTGATTCTATATAAAAAGTGCTCACCAATGTCTTCACTTTACAATGGTTAAATTAAAGAAGATCTGGAGAAAATCATTCAAATTTAAGTTCTTTATATTGTATATATACGAATACATATGTTACGACTTTTTTGTATTCTGAACATTAAGGACAATACAAAATGTAATTTATTTCAACAAACTTTGACCAGGTGAGCTCAAAAGGACAAGTAAGAAGTATGTCAGCATTACCAATATTATAGCTCTTGATATGAACCTGTCCCTAAGGAGGTTCATTGTTTTATGTATGATAGTTTGTACATTGGACTTACCTCATTTTCGCCCGGCAATCTGTTCTGGACACAGAGTCGATCCTGAGAATCTAGCACAAGCTCCTTGCTGGCGAAGACTTCCAAGGGGATGTCACTCTCTTCCAGCTTATATCGAGTCACATGCTCCTTCCACAAATTCATTGTCACCTGTAACACACAAACCCTGTATCTGTTAAGGATTTTATACCATGTGACATTTTATACATGTGACTTGTGTTAAGAGTTGTCTACCTTTTTTGTTTTCGTCACCATATCTAATAGAATACCAGAATGTTACCAGTATATTACTTTGTGTGTAGTGATCCAATGTGCCATCAGGTACACATTACATTCTACAGGGTATGGAAGTTATAAGGAGATTGATGCCATAGCAGGGTTACATGTATACTGAAGTCTTAATATACCTGTCTGAACATTTCTGGGAAGTCATACACATAGGTGGTTCCACTTGACTGAGCCTGGAAGCGTTTGAGTTGTAAGTGGTCCTTGGTGACGTAGGGTGTGCTGATCAACAGACCATGGAGGGCACCCTGCTTTGTTCCATATGCTTCAAACATCACCTGCAAAAAGAAGGAATTATATACTTTATCCTTACCTCGGTGCAATTTCATTATTTGGCTTGCTTGACCAATTAGTCAGATTTAACTATTTTATTGTACATTCCTTACTACTTAGATGTCCCTTGAGATATCACAGTAATTATAAGTTTTATCACAGAAAAACTTATCTAACAGATGACAAATTCATCAAAAACAAATACAGGTATAATTTCGGAGTTTCTTACCTGTCCTGAGCTTAGATCTGTAACCTCCTTGTACAGGCTCATGTCCAGGTAATACCCGCTTTCATTGGTCAGGAATAGCCGGATAGGGTCAACTGTACCAGTCAAGCCATTTCTGTACAAACAACATTGATGATATTACCAGTGGAAGATTAACATACAGCCAAATAAAGAACTACATTGTATTGTCTTTGAGATAAACATACTTCCAGACATCTAAATATTAACATTATACTGTATCTTAATTATATTTCTATGAATGGTTGTTATTAGCAGAGTGAAATCAGAAGAAATATTTACACACCCAAGAAACACCCTGTGTAAAGCATTTAGTTTAGTATATTATGTATGAAGAAATGTCTGGCGTACTTTATCGTAAACTTGAGTTCAGCACTGAGAACACGGATACTCCACAGTCTGTTGCCGTATCGCATCACCATACTCCTCACGGTCTCTTCCAGCTAAGGATAGAAAGACACGGTATATCTTTCACTTTTACGTTGACATCTGAGATCAGTTAAGTACACTTTTACAATGACATCTGAGATCAGTTAAGTACACATTTACATTGACATCTGAGATCAGTAAAGTACACTTTTACAAAGACATCTGAGATCAGTTAAGTTCACTTTTACAAAGACATCTGAGATCAGTTAAGTGCACTTTTACAAAGACATCTGAGATCAGTTAAGTACAATTTTACAAAGACATCAGTTAAGTACACTTTAACAAAGATATCAGTTAAGTACACTTTTACATTGTCATCTGAGATCAGTTAAGTATACTTTGACAAAGACATCTGAGATCAGTTAAGTACACTTTTACAATGACATCTGAGATCAGTTAAGTACACTTTTACATTGTCATCTGAGATCAGTTAAGTATACTTTGACAAAGACATCTGAGATCAGTTAAGTTCACTTTTACGTTGACATCTGAGATCAGTTAAGTTCACTTTTACGTTGACATCTGAGATCAGTTAAGTACAATTTTACAAAGACATCAGTTAAGTACACTTTAACAAAGATATCAGTTAAGTACACTTTTACATTGTCATCTGAGATCAGTTAAGTATACTTTTACAAAGACATCTGAGTTCAGTTAAGTTCACTTTTACAATGACATCTGAGATCAGTTAAGTACAATTTTACAAAGACATCTGAGATCAGTTAAGTGCACTTTTACAAAGACATCTGAGATCAGTTAAGTGCACTTTTACAAAGACATCTGAGATCAGTTAAGTTCACTTTTACGTTGACATCTGAGATCAGTTAAGTTCACTTTTACAAAGACATCTGAGATCAGTTAAGTGCACTTTTACATTGACATCTGAGATCAGTTAAGTACAATTTTACAAAGACATCAGTTAAGTACACTTTAACAAAGAAATCAGTTAAGTACACTTTTACATTCCATCAAACTTAAACATCCTTCTATCAAGGTTTGAATAAATAAATATGAAATTCCAAAACTCTATAAAAATTTGAAACCTCAAAAAATACTACAAAATGAATTTTTTAGTTTTCTTATACACATAGCTTCTATTTAGATTTATACGTATATATCATTTTCGATTATAGTCAATGCACAAACTCACCTTCCCTGGTTCGTTCAAGGTCAAGGTGGGTACAAAGTTGAGAAAGATGTGGTTACAATCTGTCCTTTTCGCCTGGAAGATCATACAGAAACAGTTCAATTAAATACATTTAATTTACAGACCAATTGAAAAAGGTTTCAGTACTGAATGAACCTGTATTCATGCAAGTACAACTGAATGAAATTAAAATTGCATGGAATAAATTTCTTTAGGAATCAACTCATAATTATAAGACTTAAATTGGCATATAAATCTGTTTTATATTATACCATTATCTACAGGGATAAAAATACATAGTTTTTATTTTCATGAATTCATTAATACATGGAATAGAAAACCAGTAACAATAAGAAAATAAAGAAAATTTCAGGGATTTTCATAAATAAATCAATGCATGAATTTTTGTGTAACTTTTCATGTCAAAAAGTGGAGCTCTTTTAAAAGGAGATTAATATTACAATAAGGTAACATATATCCTTAAGGATGTCTGGTAACTCTGGTTACAGGATACTGACCAGGGGGTGAGAGAAGGCCACCTCCAGGGAGTCCATTGCCTCTAACAGTGTCCTCTCAGCCTCGTTCTGGAGGTACTCAAACGATGCCTCCTGTAAAACACATACACATTTAAACAATTCTTACACAGCATTGAAATGGCTTACGTTCTGATTAAGGTGCAACTGATCATTTCAGCACACAGGAGGTAATTTATGTAGACTCTTACGCATCATATGATTTAATATGAAGGAAACATGATTTTTGCAAACTTATACACTATGCCTAGTAGCAATCCTGATTTATTACACAGTTTTCCCTCTTTTCAAGGTACCTTGTATGTCTTAAATTAAACACTCTATGGCTACAGCAGAGAAATTCATGGCTAGAATCATAATATTATTTGAGATTTATAAAACATGATTGAGATTTAGGAAATTATATGAAACTATAGTAACAGTCAATGATAAGTTTATCAATCTGATCAGAGAGAACCCCATATTAACCCTTGTTAACAATTAAAAACTGTGAGAAATTCCCGTCTTACTTACTTTGGTGACAAGATCAGAGTGTCTGATGATTGATCTGACAAAGAACCGATAGTCAGTGACCTCTTGACCTTTGGCAACCTGGCAGGTAAATGATCAAATTATGTAAGATAAACAATTTTACATGAATTTTGGCTAGCTAATATTATTATTGATACTAACATGTGATACATGTATTTCATTTAATGTTTCTCAGAGAAACATTATGTTAAAAGTATCCATGAAGGTGTTACACACAGATTGACATATCAATGTTAGGAATCAAACCTGACTACCAACAAATAGAACTCCATATGTTCTAGACTTAATAGTTGAAAGGAGCCACTAAAACCTGGCATGTCCTTAAATGACCACAGCTGTTAATAGGACATAAATCACTATTGACTCACAAACCGAACTAGCAATCTAGAAAATATGTATAATAACGTCTGTATTTCTACTTAAAAACATATGGAGACAAAGGCTTATGTTACATAGGTTCATGTGAAATAATTATATATTTTTTCAACAATGGCAGTTTTTTCCTCAATACACACGGTGGGTTTCCATTATTTATACTTGGTATATATCTGGCCCAAAAATATTTGATTGAAGAAAAGGGAACTTCCTGTTCAGATTGGGGTTGGATTCAAAATATTTCCCTGAAAAGGCATTTCTTGATATTGTATACCTTGGCCTTCCCGAGGTAGAGGTGCATTTTGTAATTGGCTGTGGGAATAGCCTCCAGGTCAAAGTTGCGCAGACGGTTTATTTCCAGCTGGAAAGCAAGAGCGGGTTCCAAGTGACGGTAGATCCTATCCTCGTCAAACTGAAATAAATACAGGACACTTCTCGCTATATAACAGGACAATCACAAAGTCCTCGCACTATATAACAGGACAATCACAAATTCCTCTCGCTATATAACAGGACAATCACAAATTCCTCTCGCTATATAACAGGACAATCACAAATTCCTCTCGCTATATAACAGGACAATCACAAATTCCTCTCGCTATATAACAGGACAATCACAAATTCCTCTCGCTATATAACAGGACAATCACAAAGTTCTCTCACTATATAACAGGACAATCACGAAGTCCCCTCCCTATATAACAGGACAATCCCAAAGTCCTCTCACTATATAACAGTACAATCACAAAGTCCCCTCACTACATAACAGGACAATCACAAAGTCCACTCACTATATAACAGGACAATCATAAAGTCCCCTCACTATATAACAGGACAATCCCAAAGTCCTCTCACTATATAACAGTACAATCACAAAGTCCCCTCACTACATAACAGGACAATCACAAAGTCCTCACTCTATATAACAGGACAATCACAAAGGCCCCTCCCTATATAACAGGACAATCACAAATTCCTCTCGCTATATAACAGGACAATCACAAAGTTCTCTCACTATATAACAGGACAATGACAAAGTCCTCTCACTATATAACAGGACAATGACAAAGTCCTCTCACTATATAACAGGACGATCACAAAGTCCCCTCACTATATAACAGGACAATCACGAAGTCCCCTCCCTATATAACAGGACAATCACAAATTCCTCTCGCTATATAACAGGACAATCACAAAGGCCTCTCACTATATAACAGGACAAACACAAAGACCCCTCACTATATAACAGGACAATCACAAAGCCCCCTCACTATATAACAGGACAATCACAACGTCCCCTCACTATATAACAGGACCATCACAAAGTCCCCTCACTATATAACATGACAATCACAAAGTCCTCTCACTATATAACAGGACAATCACAAAGTCCTCTCACTATATAACAGGGAATGGTAAATCACTCTTTAGTAATTGTCCAAAAACACTTAAAACACAATCATTATTATACTTAACTAGTTATAGATGATAATTTAAATATAAAATGGTAATAAAACAAATATGTGTGTGACTTGTACATGAAAGCTTTGAAATGCATTGAGAGAGTAAAATTCACTGGAAAATGTAGAGATATTGGCTTCTTAGGTACTTCGATACAAATGACATTTTTTTCTGAATATTCCATTTGCTGGACTGTTTTACGGACATCCATACATCTAGTGTACCAATTTAATCTGTAAACATTTATACATTTGAGGATAGTGCAGTAGAATACCATCCCCAGCTTACCTCAAACTTAGCTCGGTAGGTGAAATATTTTGGAAAATGTCTCTGTAAAGAAAACAAATCAACATAAGATTTTACATACATGTAGTTACTAGTTTACCAAGATGTTCAATTAGTTACAAATGTCAACATTATCAGGCGTACTTTAGAACCAGGTGATTAGATCAATCACTCATATAAAAGTACATATATATGTATGATGTTCAATGTAAGTGATAGAAATACAACCAATGGTTTTCTTAGAAAATCCCATAAAATAGAGTCCCCTGTCTATAGCTTTTCCTGTAAAATTAATCTGAATCAACAACTTGTTCAGTGGCTGTCTAAAAAGCCTCATATGGTTTCTGGCTTGGTTCTATTCAATATATATAGGATCTTACATGAGTTTCCATTTCATATGAGATTTATGAAACGAGTCTAAGAATTTTTCAATTTAGCGAGCCTCTTGCGAGGTTAAATATGTGACGAGTTTCATAAATTTCATATGAAATGAAAAGAGTGTAAGATCCTTTTTATCACATAATCAACTTAGATTTATCATGTAAAACGGCAATTTTCATGCAACCTTGAAATGTAAAAAGCCGCCATTTTGACTCCAATGCGTAAGTCTGTGACGTCATGTACTTGTCCTAGCGTGACGTCACAATAGAAACAATTGAAACTTACAACCAATCACAGGGCTGATAGGTCATATAACATGGGTTCATATGCCAAAACTATAACATGAGTATATTCACTGGATATATATAACAGTACATTATGTGATAAAAATACATCTTACCTTGTATGTGACTAGGAAGGTGATCCTTCTGATGCCTTTTTCATACATCACTGACGACTGAAATCAAATTTCATATAATAATTTTATACTGTCAGTTACTCTACAAATATAAAAGTGTGTGTGTCACATTTATCAGAACAAGAAGATTTGGAGTTATTTAGGCTCTCATTTAGAATATCTACTGTATTAGTTTCAGCAGAGATGCATTAAGATTTTGCACTCTGTGACTCCTTATTGCCTTGAATTTAGCTCCCTNTTACTATATACATACATTCTATATCTTACCACAGGTCATACTGTATACATACATTCTATATCTTACCACAGGTCGTACTGTATACCTACATTCTATATCTTACCACAGGTAGTACTGTATACATACATTCTATATCTTACCACTGTTCATACTGTATACATACATTCTATATCTTACCACAGGTCTTACTATATACATACTTTCTATATCTTACCACAGGTCTTACTGTATACATACATTCTATATCTTACCACTGTTCATACTGTATAAATACATTCTATATTTTACCACAGGTCTTACTGTATACATACATTCTATATCTTACCACAGGTCGTACTGTATACAATACATTAATATTCTATATCATACCACAGGTCATACTGTATACATACATTCTATATCTTACCACAGGTCGTACTGTATACAATACATTCTATATCTTACCACAGGTCGTACCGTATACATACATTCTATATCTTACCACAGGTCGGACTGTATACATACATTCTATATCTTACCACAGGTCGTACTGTATACCTACATTCTATATCTTACCACAGGTCATACTGTATACAATACATTCTATATCATACCACAGGTCGTACTGTACACATACATTCTATATCTTACCACAGGTCATACTGTATACATACATACTATATCTTACCACTGGTCATACTGTATACATACATTCTATATCTTACCCCAGGTCGTACTGTATACAATACATTAATATTCTATATCATCCCACAGGTCGTACTGTATACATACATTCTATATCTGACCACAGGTCGTACTGTATACATACATTCTATATCTGACCACAGGTCGTACTGTATACATACATTCTATATCTGACCACAGGTCGTACTGTATACATACATTCTATATCTGACCACAGGTCGTACTGTATACATACATTCTATATCATACCACAGGTCGTACTGTATACATACATTCTATATCTTACCACAGGTCATACTGTATACAATACATTCTATATCATACCACAGGTCGTACTGTATACATACATTAATATTCTATATCATATCACAGGTCGTACTGTATACATACATTCTATATCATACCACAGGTCGTACTTTATACATACATTCTATATCTTACCACAGATCGTACTGTATACATACATTCTATATCATACCACAGGTCGTACTTTATACATACATTCTATATCTTACCACAGATCGTACTGTATACATACATTCTATATCATACCACAGGTCGTACTGTACACATACATTCTATATCTTACCACAGGTCGTACCGTATACATACATTCTATATCTTACCACAGGTCAAACTGTATACATACATTCTATATCTTACCACAGGTCATACTGTATACATACATTCTATATCATACCACAGGTCGAACTGTATACATACATTCTATATCATACCACAGGTCATACTGTATACACACATTCTATATCATACCACAGGTCGTACTGTATACATACATTCTATATCTTACCACAGGTCATACTGTATACATACATTCTATATCTTACCACAGGTCGTACTGTATACATACATTCTATATCTTACCACAGGTCATACTGTATACATACATTCTATATCTTACCACAGGTCATACTGTATACATACATTCTATATCTTACCACAGACATAACATTTTGTATCTTATGACTGGTCATACTGTATTTATATTCTATTTCTTCACATCTATTACCAGTACTTGAACTATCCCCTTGTGGTATTATATTTAGTTATATTAACCTGAATGTAATATGTTTCCTGTACCTATAGCTAGTTATATTAACCTGAATGTAGCATGTTTCCTGTATGTAAATAAATTTTACATAAATTCATATTTGATTTACCTGTTTGCAGATTTGTATTGAATTACCTGTATCATGTATTAAACTTATTTCACATCTACATAAAGATAGATTTATTTTACTCATAGGAGATCTATTTATTGTATTGTGAATATTTTTAGTGTATGGATATTTCCTTTACCTGCAGTTGTTTAGCTGTGGGTATATCTTTTACCAGTATGTATACATTTTTAAACTTTTGTATACATATGTACTTTAGTTACAGGCAGAGATACTTTTCCTGAATGTAGATTTAATTACCGGATAATACATTTTATGTAACATGTGTATGGATGATTTTTACCTGTATAGATATAGTGTCCTCCTGTACAGACACACTTCTGTCCAGGAGTTTGGGACTGTCTGGTGGGGACTCAAGTTCGTTGGTGAATCGTTCCATCAGAGACTCAAAGCTCTTGACGAAATCCTCAAAGGATGAGAATGAGGCGATGATGCCCATCCTCTGACACATGGGTTGCTCCTCTAGTTGGTCAATATGTGCGGAGGACTCCGACTCGGCCATCTCTGACACCTTATCAGTACTATCAAACCTCATCACCATCATCCTAGTAACAGACATGTAACGTCAGAAACTCACCATACCCATGACCACTCAACGTGTACTGTCAGAAATTAATGACACTTCTAGTCAACACAATACTAAACAGGTACGGTCACTCGTCACTTGTAATTCATTACGCTTGTTCACATATGAACTTAATACTTACTGAACAATTCCTACCTCCAACAATGTATACAGGATAACCTCAAGAGAGCTCATCATCCTTGAAATCTGCTTATTATTACTGCATTTATTTATGCAGGCAATATGGGTTCATATTACCTTACTAGATTTTGTTTTCACGAGCCTAACATCGATACCAAACTTACGACAGTGTTATTGCCTTCGGCTGGCTGTTAATTATAATTACATTGAACATAAGCATTCAATAGAAGATTTAGCTCCATGTTTTATGAAAGTTCTACATATGAAGTTCTCTTTCTCGTTTTTGAGATCATGACAAAACTATCAACAATGAACACAAAATAACGGATACTTCTATGCACAAGACATTTGATAGTGATTGTAAAGTTCATGAAATGATCATTGAGAATAATTTTGCATAATTGTTGAACATACCGAAACTGGGACAGTCAATCCCACATGACAAATCAATTTGGTACAACACTATATAACAGGATGTGTCTGGTTTATCTCACTGTTGGCTATGTATTGGGAGGTGAGCTCAAGTAAACAACAGGATGTGTCTGGTTTATCTCACTGTTGGCTATGTATTGGGAGGTGAGCTCAAGTAAACAACAGGATGTCAACATGCAATAAACAAATCAAAAGGAGGAACAGAAGTTAAATTTTCCCTTTTTAAACAAAGGTGATAATATCTTAGTTTTATAACCATGGAATTTCAAACCCTACTTTGAATTTTAGAAGAAATGGAGTGGAGATTTTTGCACAAAGCAGGTCATGCAAGAGATGTGTGCAATAGGTTGACTTAAGATCAGTATGGGTATGAATTTCAGTTTAATGGAAATTTACCCTCAAAGCTGATGAAAATCCAAACATTTAATATTTTGGTAATTTGAAACTTGAGATATTTTACACTTACTCATCTTTAACTTAGTCCAATTACAGTAAAATACGTTCAAGTTAAGTTTACAATCAACTTAAATCAAAGTGCTATTCACGTCTGAGGATAGCTAGACATGAACATTACTGAATGTTGACACTCACTGGTATACAATGTGTTACCACATGAAATCATTTGAGGTATTCCCATACTTGTACTGCTTATGTGTTATTCATTTGTTACACTGAAAATGAGTCAAAGTCATGAGTATTTAAACAAAAGATAAAGATAGTATTACACTAGTACACCTAATGGATCATTGTGTATAGGTTCACATAGGACATCCAGTGAAATGTTTACGTGTGGCGTTTCACTGTGGGCTGGCTCTGAATATCAATATGAGGGGGCTCATAGACTCTTACACAGCTATAACCAGGCATTAAACAAAGCGTAGTCAACTTGATTAATTGATTTAATCGTCATTTTGTACAATTATAACAACTAAGTGTACATACTCTTAAAGTGACGTTAAAAAGATGGTGATTTTTTTGTCAACTCATATATATTCCACCCCTTAGTGTACTATTTCTCAGTAATTCGTCTGACCATGGAAACATGACATATGAACATTTTATAGTTTGTTAGTAGTTTGATATTATGACAATGGCCAAGGTCATAGAATGAGGGAACGTTTCACTGGTTGTGCTCTATGAACCTTTACACAATCTTTACTAACCAACCAGAAGTAAATGTCCCGAAAAAAGTTAAGGATCTTTGCTTAAGGAATCCTGCCCACTGCACTCTGGTTTATATACAGTATTACCTCCCCTTTATTTCATTTTTGATATATTAACTGTAGAACAACAGTTGGATCAAGATACCTCCGTTGATCATGTAGCACAGTTGGTTAAAGTGATAGTGTAACAATCTGAAGTCAAGGGTTCAAATTCCAGTTTAGTCTGCTAAATTTTAACACTCAAAATACTGTTGTTAATTATGTTTTGTTTATTTCATCTTTATCATTTTGTCATTAAAGTCTGGCAAATTATGGTTTTCTTTCAGAAATGATTGATCAAAGCTATAGTCATGGGAAAAACACTTTTCAATGCATAATTACAGGTTTTGGCAGTGGCACATGGATCCTTAGATTTTAACATTATCTTCTACACAGACAATCTTTTAAGTTGATTTTAAGGACATTTCTTTGTACAAAATGGGTAACCCTTAATACCAGCAAGCCATATGCCTCATATCATGACAATGGGTATCTTAGTTATTCAGAAGTTGTTAAAAGACTTAACATATTTGACCCCCATGACCCTGAACGCAGGTCAAGGTCATCTATTTTGATAAACATAAGTATCCCTTCATTCAAGAATATTAGTAGCTAATGATCATCACCCTAGGCCTCTTGGTTATTAAGTAAAAGTCATTTACAGGTTTTAACAAGTATGGCCCATCACACCTTGAATTAATCCATCACCTTGCAATGAAAAAGTACTCAAGGTAAGGGTTCTTGGTACAAATACTTCTCACATGCTTTCAAATGATAAAGCTTGTGCCGACTTAAAATATGCACTGCTACCTTATTGAAGCTTATTCCAGTCAAAAGCATTACATGCACTAGATCTGCTATATTAAAAATTATCGGATCATTTTCTTCATTCCTCAGCTTTGCTTATAAGCTACAATGTATTACCTCCTTACTACACCTGAAAAAAGATTATTAATTAATATCTTACAAATGATATACTAAATAAAATGTCTTCCACCATGTATGTTGTTATCATGATGACAGTTCTACAGCTATCCTTGTCTCCAAAATAATTACATGAAAGGCTCCAAATAAAGAAAATATATCAGCTGTTAGTAAGAATGGTTGCATGTGAAAATGAGTAGTACTCTGGATTAGACAGGAGATGAAGAAAGGTAAAGGGACAGATGAAATGGACAGAAAATACTTCAACGTGGATTCAACAGACATGAAGGCTACAAGCATGAAGCATGCCAACAACTAGGATCGGTTTAAACACACCTTGGTTGGCTCTCATCTACAGAAAATCCCTGGCTTACAGGCGCTGGGAATAATACCTCACTGTCCCTTCTGGAAATGTTACAGAAACATGATGCCTTATGTATTAGGTCAGTGAAAAGATTATAAGATTGCAATCACGTGTACATATAAAATAATTTGTTATAGGTGCTGGTTAATAGAGTAACATGATTGCAAGGATATTAAGATCAATTGAAGAACAATATTTAGTACATGTATCGCTGTTGAGTGTTGACCATTCCTACCTTTAACCACATTTCTGAAATTCACCCCAACAAATATACAAAGTGCTACCTGGACAAAGTAATATCTGGACATAGTAATACCTGCACATAGTAATACCTGCACAAAGTAATACCTGCACAAAGTAATACCTGGACATAGTAATACCTGGACAAAATAATACCTGCACAAAGTAATACCTGGACATATTAATACCTGCACATAGTAATACCTGCACAAAGTAATACCTGCACAAAGTGATACCTGGACAAAGTAATACCTGGACATAGTAATACCTGCACATAGTAATACCTGCACAAAGTAATACCTGGACAAAGTAATACGACAAAGTAATACCTGGACAAAATAATACCTGCACAAAGTAATACCTGTACAAAGTAATACCTGCACAAAGTAATACCTAGACAAAGTCATACCTGGACAATCTGGTCACTTTCAATATGAAACAGACACTGAAATTCATTTTTTTTTTAAATTTCTTTTCACCATTTCCCAGTGAAGTCCTCTGCCATTTATAATCACTGATGAGGTAGGTGATAGGTAGATATAATGAAAGTGGAGCCTCCATAATCCAGCCACTTCATTTCCAGCAACAGTGGCTGCAGTTATTAATTGGAATGATTTTATGCAAATTATAGAAAAAGGTCAACTGATCCCCTAAAACAGTGTCTGGATTAAAAATAGTCTGGTTTAGTGGTGGCTGGATTAAGGAGGCTAGACAGTACTCTATGATGTTTTATAACTTGTGTGGTATATATTGAAACATTCAAAAGAACGACAAAACATCACTCATAGTTTCTAATGAAATTCATTAACCATGTTACCTAGCTGAATATTTTCCCCTAAATCTGGTATTTGCCAATCATCTACAAAATGTGGATATGTCAGAATAAAACACTCAAAATTCCTAAAGTTAACACTGTATGGTAGTAATTAGCAGAGACATATGCAGAAACAAAAGTACAGTTCAAGTCAAGACATTAATGATGAAAATATTTTTTTATAATGAAAGTCTTAATGGAGACTGATTTGTACTTATTCAACACTCAGGCATACATACGAATTGTTTGATACTGTCATGTGTAAATTGGATAGGGGTGTCACAATGTGCCGAGAGTGTATCACGATATATTGCAATACAGAATGAATATATTGCGATATGTATCCTGATATATTGTCATAGAAAGGATGTGCTCAATTTTATAATAAGTTGTTGTCAAAATGTTATCAAACTTAATCATATATAATATGGATTACATAGATTTAAGATTTTTGTCAAACCAACTATCTATTACAAAATTTGAACTATTAAAAGCCTTCTCTATGCTTATTGGCATATCCGTTAGAATTGTTAACTTGCAAAGTTACAACACCAAGCAGATATTGCGATACAGCAATATTTCATCTCTGTATTGTGGCACCATACTATATACCATACCTGTTTTCTGAAATATTGTGACAGCCCTAAAATTTTATGATCAATTGTTGGATAAATAAAAAGCAAAATAATCAAACTGTATCTTACTGATCAATCTGTTGGTGATTCCATTAGCGACCCTTACATTATTAGTATTACATATATTATGTATACAGAAGTTTACAAACAAGATGCACAAATTCACATAACATAGTGCAAAATGTCATGTTTTCTGGTATTTGCATAGTTTTTTAATTTCATGGGTTAAACTTCATTTTGCACAGGTCAAGTCCAACTTTGATTTCTCAGGTACCAGGGTAAAACTTCAATTTCTCTGGACTAACTTCAATTTCACAGGTCATACTTCGATTTCATAGGTCAAACTTTAACCTTGCGGGTTAAACTTTTTTGCAGCATTGCCCTTGGAACAAATTTATTGTTATTATTTTTGCAATATACCACTTTCATTATGATTCATAAACTTACACACTGGTAAAAGCTGGTATTTTTTGGAATTTGTGGTTGGTGTTCAAACCGTTAATATTATTAAAACAAAGCCACTATGCAGTACCAGATTTACATTTCTAGTCTAAAGGGTGGTTAACGCTTACAGATATAATGGCTACACAATATAGATGTGTCATATCAGGCATGCTGACTACAGCACCAACGTTAGATGGGGCCTCCAACAATATAAATATTAACATCCTCACATAACAGTGATATTCACTGCTGTACTGGAATATATAGGCTCACTTACAAAATTTAGAGCTAGTATTATTTAAAAGAGGAAGCAATCTGACAAAATAGCCTTAAAGACAGGACCAGTACATGTCCCTATCAGGGTTCAACGCTAACACTTCTCCTTTAGTCAGCAAGGACTAGTGAATCGCATGGTCTAGCTGGTCCTTTTGACTTATGATAAAAAGATAAACTATCACAATATCATTTGATAGATTACAAAATAAGATTATTCTTTCAAAAACTGTTAGAAATATAGATATGTTGCATAATAATTCTCAAATATTCCCTTAAACTCAGAATATTTTTATGGCAGTTTTATGACCCCTTCAGTCAATTATTTTCTCTGTTTCATGCTGGAGGTGTTTCCTTAAGGAAATCTTGGACTACTTACATGGATGTAGGACTAGTGAATTATGTGTTCAACTGGTCCTTTTGAATACCAGGTGAAAACAATTAATGTCTAACTCTGCTTATTTCAGTCGTTAAGATTTTTTCAATTCAATCAAATTGAAAAGAAATAACAGATAATAATATTTGTGCTTTTTTTGCATTGAAGTGAAAGACTGTTCTGCAAGCGATAGAAGGAGAGAACAGGGGAGAAAACCTAAGACTAGACAATGATGAGGCTGTAGATGATACAGAAGTAATAGACTTACCTGTTTGGATGAGATCTGGGAAGAAGAAATTTGAATTCGACTACACAAAGGTCTGCATCTACTTGACAATGTCGTAAACAGTTCACCTCATAGGCTATGTAAGCCCTCCTGATGTACACCTGGCAACAAACACAATCAATTAATAAGGTACAACAGGCACCAACAGTTATACACTGGCAACAAACACCCAACAATTAACATACTGACAACAGACATTGACATTGTGGTACCCCTTTTTATGTACCGAATCTAATTTTCAATCCAGCTTCAACAATATCCTTTTCACATAGACATGTACTACAATAAGACAGTGTTGAAAGAAAAAAAAAGATATAAAAATCAAGGGTCTTCAAAATGGTCTTATAGACACCTGTTGTTTATCTGGTTTGTTGGTTAAGTTGCAGTGTGTTAGATGTTGCCTGGACAACAGTTTGCTCCCTAATATTTTGAAGATGGTCTGATGGGATTTTCATCATGATCTTAAATTTATTGTATGTCTGCATTAAAATTTGCAGTATTTATAAAAAGAAAATTTAAGCTCATGTGCAGCCATCTATATGAGTATTCCAGTGCCAAAAAACATTTACTTTAAATGCCACTATCTGCTTGAGAGTATTACAGTGCCTGAAAAACTTACCTCAAGTGCTGCCATCTGTACGAGAGTATTACAGTGCAAGAGTATTACAGTGCCTAATAAACTTACCTCGAGTGCTGCCATCTGTACGAGAGTATTCCAGTGCCTGAAAAACTTACCTCTAGTGCTGCCATCTGTACGAGAGTATTACAGTGCCTGATAAACTTACCTCGAGTGCTGCCATCTGTATGAGAGTATTACAGTGCCTGAAAAACTTACCTCTAGTGCTGCTATCTGTACGAGAGTATTACATTGACTGATAAACTTACCTCGAGTGCTGCCATCTGTACGAGAGTATTACAGTGCATGAAAAACTTACATCTAGTGCTGCCATCTGTATGAGAGTATTCCAGTGCCTGAAAAACTTACCTCTAGTGCTGCCATCTGTACGAGAGTATTACAGTGCCTGAAAAACTTACCTCGAGTGCTGCCGTCTGTACGAGAGTATTACAGTGCCAGAAAAACTCTTGTAGTATATCATTGATGGCTGTCTCAGAGTAAATCAGTTTCTGTAACACAAGATGTTTACATGTCACAGCATAACAATGACATCATTTACACTGTTTACTGAAGGCAGAAAATACCAGTAGGGTACTCTTGTTTAAATTTCCATGTAAGTAAGTAAACATGGCAGTTTGATTATGTCTGACTAAGCTTAACAAAAACCAAGAACTCAATATCTGATATTTAACTTCAGAAACAAATTACCTTGAAACAGAAGACAAATTCTGAACACTATTTCAGATGTATTTATACTTCATATGATCCATTAACTTGTGTAGCTAGTTTGATACAATAGGTAATACTATTACTGTATTACCTGGAGGTTTTCGGGACAGAATTCAGAGCCGTACATGTCAATGGCAGACAGGAAGATGGACTCCATCTGGTTATGTCTCAGTTCATATGGAGGTTGGTGGGCTGCTATCAATACCTGTCAGGTATGGAGGAAAGGAATTAACAGTGGTTTGATGTATGTACAAATCTAGTGAGGTAGATTGATGTATGTACATATCTAGTGAGGCAGATTGATGTATGTACATATCTAGTGAGGTAGATTGATGTATGTACATATCTAGTGAGGCAGATTGATGTATGTACATATCTAGTGAGGTAGATTGATGTATGTACATATCTAGTGAGGCAGATTGATGTATGTACATATCTAGTGAGGTAGATTGATGTATGTACATATCTAGTGAGGTAGATTGATGTATGTACATATCTAGTGAGGTAGATTGATGTATGTACATATCTAGTGAGGTAAATTGATGTATGTTCATATCTAGTGAGGTAGATTGATGTATGTACATATCTAGTGAGGTAGATTGATGTATGTACATTTCTAGTGAGGTAGATTGATGCCTCCACCACACAAAGTCTCATTGACTTCAACGTAAAACCTAAAGATCTAGAATAGATGTTTCGTTATTTTTAATTAATCATCAAGCTCCAATTTTCAAAACCTATTGTCATATTTGTGAATCAAAGTCCAACGTAGTTAAATATGAACATCAGCATAGGATTTCAACACACTAAGTCAACTTTTTTCAATATTGCAGTGGTTATATCACTCATTTACCTATATTAACTCAATGGCATTACCTATCTTTCCTTAACCTGTGTTTACCTTGCCTGTTAGTCATTACCATGCATCCTCTGCCTGTGTTCACCTTATCTGAGTGGCAAAACTAGCATTCCATAACATGTTCACCTTACCTATTCATTACGTAATATTCCTAATTAACCTATGTGATTTTAACGCCCACATTTTTGAATCTATCTGTTTTACCTGTCGTGCCCTGAGAGCAACTTTGGCGTTGTTAGTCTGATTCAGAGTGGTCAGTTCTGTGAGGATGTTGGTCAGTTCCTCAGTCAGTCCAGGCTCTTTACCACACAGACGGTCCTATAGGGAACAATAAACATGTTACTGTTGTTACAACTTAAACACACAAAATAAAGCCATACAGTTCAAAAGTACTGCTGTGAAATAATGAGATGATAAATGATACAAATAATACATTAATATAATATAGCATACAAAAAATATAATATAGAGGACCCTGAGAGAGATTAGCCTTTGACTAAATCAGGTTTTGATCCTCAATAAATAAAGTTTATTATTATTTATTACTATTATAATAAACAGTTGAAACCAATATGTCAACAAAGAATCCACAAATTTAGATTAATTTTTTAGACAATTTGAAGCTTATATAACAATGACCTAAGTATTCCTTACAATCAACATGATGACAAGGCTGTTTTTGTTCGTGATGGCGATGTGAGAGAAGATGTTGCCCACAACTTGTGACATATTGTCCTTGTTCTTCTCCATCAGCTTCATCACACACTTGTCATAGTGTCCTACAACATGTATAGGCTGGTAATGTAGTCACAACCTTTATCATCAATTATAAAATGAAAGGTGTCTCTATTCTTTTGTAAAAGTAATATTCTTCCGTAAAATGAAAACAAAATTAGTGAGAGCTCATTTAGATACATACCCCTTACCCCTCCAAAGTAATAAAGTGTAACATTTGACCGTTTCAACTTCACCTATGACCACCAAAATCTAATCAGGTGTAGAACTTATTGCCAATATAAACTAAATCTGTTAGTATTCATATGATATCTAATCTGTTAGTATTCATATGATATCTTCAACTCAAGCTGCTTTTATATTACAGATGAATGCATGAATGCACAGACAAAGTGATTACTATATAGCCCTCTCTATTTAGTGAGAGTACAAATATGTTTGAAACATTTCCCAATTCAAAGAAATTACAATTTGATACAGTATCAATAAGTGATTCAGATATAATTTTGCCTGTAACTTACCGTGTTGGAACTGAAGCTCTACATGTAAATACTGTTTCAATAAGTCCTTTACAACCGCTTTCATATGGCCTCGGATACCATTACGATACCTGCAAAAGTAAATCAGAATTTGAAGTGATCATTAAAACTTCTTATGTAACATAAAACTTCACAGCTTTCCATGAAGTCACAAATTCACCTATGCACTCTATCAGATTTAATGCTTTCCAAACAAAACACTTTAACAGGCAATTTGACTTACAATTGAATAAACTTTAACACAACAAACACCGTTAACAAACATATCATCACTGGAAAGCATCAAATTTTAACCAAATTTATTGTTAACAAGTTCACATACCGGTAAAAAATAATGTTGATGCTTATAAGTAGTAAGTTGTAAATGCTAATATATGAGGAATTGTAAAGTTGTAAACTGATAAAATATCCTATTATATCAATAGCATTAACAGAGACTTTACAGACTTACCTCTGAACTAACTCGACAATTCCCTAAAAGAGACTTTACAGTCTTACCTCTAAACTAACTCGACGATTCACTACCAGAGACTTTACAGACTTACCTCTGAACTAACTCGACAATTCCCTGAGTTGTCATGAAGAAGTTTTCTCTGTCGGTGCGTCGAGTGAGCGAGGCAGCGTGTCCATCTATGAAATTGGCAATCTGAAGTAAGATAATATAGACAGAATAAAAGCAATATCCTGTGTTTAGATGAGTAACAATAGGTATGTTCCTTACAGGTAACTCAGGTATTTTGATAATAATGTTACATTACCTGTTGACTGGGGAACTGACAGAGGACTGATGTGATGTTACTGGAATAGGAGCCCAGTAATTTCTTGATGGACTTCACTACAGATGACGGTATTCTCCCCGATATCATCGACAGTAAGTCCTGTAAAAATGAGATTTTCAGTAATTTGTCTGGTACATCCAATATTTAGATTTTTTGTTTAGATTTCTTTGTTTATCTTTATATGCCGAGTCCATTTAAAGAAAATTCTTTAAAATAAATCTGTGGAATTAGCAAAAATACTGGTCAAACTCCTAAATTGTAAGACTACACCATTTTTGAAAAACTAACCATCAGTTCTAGAAGAGGTAGCATTGGGTCTTTAAGACATTGCATCAGTGTTTCCACAGATTTGGTTGTGCGCTTCTTGCTGTATGGTTCAGGAAGGGAGTAGCCTGCAAGAATGCTCTCGAGATCATTACGTGTGCTCTTAAAGACCTGGTGGATGCGTTCACCATGGGTACGGGACATATGGTGGGTGATGACTGGGAGGGGTCCGGTGTACAGTTTGGCCTGCTGGACTTTACTGGGATCATCAAGGTCAAGCTTGGCCACAATGGTTCCTGCATCCAACACAGCGCCTGGCCGCTTCACATAGTGGATACTACACAAAGAGGTCCATTTCAGATTAATGTTTCATGAATCTAAATGACTACTCATATAAATACAAATATAATTTCTCATATTTTCTCCTTTAACAAAGATATTAAGTTAAATGACAGGCTAATCCTCTCAGCTACAGTATACATACATTGTATTAGAAAAGATGGATATTGTAATCATGAGACTTACCATCCATTTTCAGACACCCTCAATTCTATGATCATCTTCATAACCTCAATTTCTGCATAAAAATCTCCAGCAAAAACATGGCCCCCATCTTCAATGAGGTAGGTCATCAGTTTTCCTGCGGAAGGTGACCTGAGAATGGTGGGGTCATTTTCACGCTCCAACACACAGGTCTTGTTGCCTATGGTGATCCTGTAGCTACTGACATCGTCCTTCATGTAAGTAGCATAGCTGGAGCCATCAATGGATAGTAACAGGCCACCATCACTCAACCTGATGTGTCACAGAATAAAACAAACCTTCAATTCACGGTAGGGGTCATTAATTAGCTCTCCTATTTTATACTTAAGATCTAATTTCTTCTTTACATATAACCGAAAAAGTGATATCATTTTAAACGTTTTTTCATTAGAAGTAACAAAGTTCCATGGTGCATTTTTCATTGCCTGGTGCAAGATATACCGGTAATGTGGTGACAATCACAAATGGAATATCAACACAAATTATCTATCACATTTAATCCAATGGTAACATCATTAAGAAACAATCATTGAACAAATTGTCAATTACTGGTCTCTTTGGTCTGATTAACCATGAAATCTTTCTCACTAGAATCTACAATTACATACTGATATCATTGTGACACATGAGATTCTAGGACCAGTATTCCTGTTAAAGGATGAAAAGTCAGCTTACCTATGGGCCTCCAAATCCAGAGAGGAATCATTCATACAAATAAAATAGGTGGTGGGACCAGTTTTCACAACCTATAGAACAAATCAAACGTATCTTTAGAATATCGGTAAATGAATATAGTGTAGAATAAATTAAAATAGTGTAGAATAAATTAATATAGTGTACAATAAATTAATATAGTGTACAATAAATTAATATAGTGTATAATAAATGAATATAGTGTACAATAAATGAATATAGTGTACAATAAATTAATATAGTGTACAATAAATTAAAATAGTGTACAATAAATTAATATAGTGTACAATAAATTAAATTAGTGTACAATAAATTAATATAGTATACAATAAATTAATATAGTGTACAATAAATTAATATAGTGTACAATAAATTAAAATAGTGTACAATAAATTAATATAGTGTATAATAAATTAAAATAGTGTACAATATATTAATCAGAGATATTTTTCGACGTGACCAATTTCCAACAACTATAAAAACATCAATCCAGCCGGAAGTTGACACTGTGCCAAACAGCACACAGGAGTTTAAATGTTATCTAATGCCGTAGACCTTTCAGAAGACTGGGACTGGTAAAATGTTCTGCTGCAGAAAAAATATATATGAATTTACCAGGTGATGTTTCAGAAAGGAAATGACATTGACAGTGACCTTATGTACCATATACTAAATATACTACCTACTCAATTGGATCTGTGACAATGTCAAACTAGGTTTGGAAAAAAGAAAAGCTCAACATCCATCTAAACCTGGAATTATTGTGTTAGGGGTAACCTGTACATGATACTTTATTCCTTCTGACATAGATAAACTCTACATATTGTGTTAGAGGAACACTACCTGTACATGATACTTTATTCCTTGACATAGATAAACTCCACATATTGTGTTAGAGGTAACCTGTACATGATACTTAATTCCTTCACAGATAAACTCCACATATTGTGTTAGAGGTAA